AGTTCAGACGTGTGCTCTTCCGATCCCCAAAACCCCAAAACCCCTTGAAGCTAAATTTAAAAAAAGTTATTTTGAAATATGTCTATTAGCATAGATTTTTGACTTTATTATTATAATAAAAATTAAATGGTTATACTCATATCTTCTAATTTATCTATTATATTTGTATTTCTTTCACTGATACTAATTCAAATATCATAAGCTTAGTATTTTCCCAATATAATTGCAAATCCTTTATACAATATCACTATTTACGACTTAGATTATTACACTGATTAAAATATAGTTATACTTGGATATTTAGAAAAGTTTTTGGAGTAAAATGAAACTTTCATTGCAAAAATTGATATATTAGGCAAGCCTTTATAAGCAATGAAAATGCTGAATTTACAATAATATCAGATTAAATAAAGAAAAGTCCAGCTAAATTGAATCCTACTCGCTTAAAATGATGAGGTTTTTATCATGTATAATAATAATTAATAAGATTCTAACTTAAACATACTTTGTGTGAACGCATCTAGCGGAGTTATATCACAATACTTATAAGTCAATTCTAATCAAAATTACTATAAATTAGGGGTAATGAAATGTTCTGAAACTATTTTTATTGCGCAGTTTCAACACAGTGATCTCAACTAATATTACGTTTAAAAGCTATATCTCAATGAATTAAATAAATTAGAAACATTATGGATAAGAAAATTCTAACTCCCATCTAATAGCCTATTCATATCAAGCTTTGAAATTTTTTCAAGATAATTAGTTGGAATGAATTTATATAATCTTGGGATTGTTGGAAATTAACTATCTGTATTATCATTTAATATCGACGAGAAAATTAACGTATAATGGAATTTCAATAATTTAATAACAACTAGCTCTGCCTTATTTAAAGCGAAACAAACAGTCAAGGGCATATATCTTTAGGCATTTTAAAAATTCATTTTTTGTTTCACATATAGTAGTGGCACTACTTAACAGTCTAATATTGCAATAAGTAATGATGTCTTCTCCTAAGTAGCGGTATTTATATTAGATGATAGTATTGATCCTTATTAATGCAAGGATATAACATTATAATAAATGATTTCTGGAGATAATTCTCAGGTAGTTTCTGTACTTTATGGATCCCAAAGTACTATGAAATTAGCAAGTATTGTAATTGACTTTAGCATTGACTATTGTAATTTAGATAATAAATCGCTTTAAGCTACATTATATCAAATGAGCAATACTTTAAGTTAAATTAAAACTGATTTCGACACATTTAAAGCCCGCTTCAGCAAATATAACCCCTTAATGTATAGAATATTTGGAACAACAACAAAATCTATCAATTGTGTCTATTATTAGAAAGAAGACTATCGGACTTACTCATTTATTTTTAATCAAAATAGCTATAGTAAATGTATTTCAGTTACTGAATCTTCTTTATCTAGAATATTACCATAAAGTGGAAGAGAAGAATGGAAATAATCACCTTTTTATCAATTAGAGTTTATTGAAAGTCTTTTAGTAGAAAATACCTTATAAATGCAATTTTTCGATACATTAGAACCTCTAATAGATCAAGACAAATAATGTATAAATAATATATCTGTGGAATATAAATTAAATGATCTATACTTTGATTCTTTTAAAGATGGTAATTAAATGACCTATTTCTTACCAAAGTCTCCAATTGAGGCATTCAAAAATTAAAACTGCTCTTTTCAATTAAATTATCTCTTGAAATCGAATGTGGCTTCATAAATTGATTCCTCTGGTTCTGATTTAAAAATAACAGTTTTTAATTAAGACCGTAACAAGTTGACTAGAGGAGAATATTTGTTGAAAATTTACTTTAATTCTTTGAATCTACTCAAACTTAGCTCTACAGATATAACCTTACATGTAGATCTTTGCAAAAACTAAACTCTAATTGCAAATTAAGAATAAAAAAATTATATCTATTATATCGGCTAACCATTTATATTCCAGAATATAGAAGATTTATTTTAGATTAAGAAAATATTACCTTACTGTTAGAATTTGATTACTTATATATTGTAAAACAAAATTTAAAGTTAAACTTAATCGAGTAAAGCTGCTACCATAAGTAAAAATATATTGTCAATATACTCAGCAGATATCTCAAATGTTGGAGTACAATAATTTTAACTAAATGCAATTATTAGCAATTATATCATTGGGACAATAGCAATTAATATTAAGATTTTTAAAAGAGCTGAAGACAAAGAGGATTAAGAAGACTATAAGGCTACCTAAAATTTGGTGTTTCTAGGATAAGAAAATTGTAATATAGATGATCTAGTTGCATATACAGATGAAATTACTTCTTTCAAAATGCCCAAATGTTTGCTAATGATTAGGACATTAGGCTTTATTATTGACATGAGTACCAAAGCTATAAAGGGATTTTCTAAAGATGCTTTAAATGGATTCAATTTGAAACCTAGTAGTACTGATGTAGGCACATATTAAGTTAAAATTTAAATTAGAGATAGCTAATTTAAGCCATTAAAAGTTTGTTATGACTTCAAAATATTAGTTTTTAAAAAATTCGATGCGATTTTGAAATGTAGTTCGTAAAATGCAAGATTATGTAATCCAAGAATAGATAGAATCAGTATAGAAGGTATAGTAATTATAAAGTTTCCAAAAGATATTGTTCCTATTGAAACCTAGTTCTATGGCAATGTTACTTAAGCCTTATAAATTAAAATCATAAATTAAGATGGTTCAAATGCAACTTTGCTAAAGTATTCAGTCATAGATTTTACAAAGAATAAAGTATTAATCTAGCTAGTGTTCTAAAATCCGATTGTTGTTTCATAATCTATTCTGGTAAATTATTCGTTACTATTTATTTTAGGGAAGAGATCAATTAAGTTTAAGATTTACAGATAGCAAATATTTCAGGAGTCAAAATCAAGACTATGAAGTAACTAATAACTTTCAAATTAAAGCAGAGATACCGCCTTAATCAGTAAATTCTAGTAATTATTTAAAGATTATTATATATATAGCACTCATGAAAACTATAAAAAAAACATTCACATTTCTAGACTCATCAATAATATCTGGAGTGGTTTCAAATATGATGCTATCTTTGTTAATTGGCTTATCTATGAAATAAATATGGAATATAATCAGCACATTATAAATTTTAGCTCACATACCAATGCTTTAGTTGAATATTCCGTCTAATTTACTCGTTTGTCTACAAACTATAATAGACGTATCAAATATGAGTATAATACCACAGGATATTGTTGACTATTTGTTTTCAGAAATAAGTTAGATTAAGGACACATAAAAAACCAACTTTTAAGTGATGGATATCTTTTATGAGATTTAATTTTTTTAGATAGTAACAAAATTTAACTATTAAAAGCTATGATTAGTCAAAAGTTATTAAAAATATTGGATAGCTAATTATATTATCAGTTGGAGTGCTAATAATATTTGTATTGCTTTTGCTTGTAAAACTACTATCAAGAAAAATTCCTTAGTATGATATTGATATTAATCTTATTTAGATTAACCAAGATTTATCATTCCATTTAAAACAAAATATTCTTCAGCTCTATGATTACTTATTTTATGAAAAGCTATCTAAAAAATTACATTAATGGCTTGATTGGGATAAAGAGCGTAAGCAGTAAAATGAATTAATTTAATTTAGTATATAAACGGAGATATTGATGACAAAATGTCAATGACTATTTCAGCAATAATGTTTATTGTTTATACATCATCACCGATTCTAATTATTTTCTTTCTAATTTTCAACTGAGATAGATTAGGAAATGATGAATTCAAGGTACAATTCGGTTCATTTTACATCAACACTAAAACATTTAGATTTTAGCAATATATTTATCACGTGATTTACATTTTAAGAAGACTTTAATATGGAATAATTATTGTATTCTTGGAAGATTCTCCTAATTTCTAATTAATGTTTCAAGTTTGGATAAGTTTTTCAATGATATTTTATGTCAGCTATTGCAAACCTTTTAATGAATCAGCTGATAATTATATTGAGTGCATGAATGAAATTACAATCCTACTTGTATTTGTATGTTTTACTACTAATGTAAGTACCTCAGCAGATATTGAGACTCAGTATAAACTTGGTTATTTTCCAATAGCAATTATCGTGTTAAATGTGCTTGCCAATTTTCTTATTTTTTGTAAAATCAATCTTGAAAAACTTTATAAGATAATAAAGAGATCCGTAGCTAGAATACGTTCCAAAAAGGACAGGACAGAAAAATTTGTAATATAACAGAACGAAGCTAGAAAATATGATAGAGTTAGAAAAGATTCAATGAATAAAACAAAGGATACATGTTCTAATTTTGATGATTAGCTTAATGACTATTTTAAAGAAACTAGAGCAAAATAAAAAAGTCCATTTCAACTTTAGCAATCATCAATATTTGATTTAAATGAAGACATTGCATAATAATCTATAAATTTTACGACTAATAGAAAACAAACATTTGATGTATATGATCATTAATATTTAGCTAACACTTAATTAAAAGGTAAATCTTTCATGGAATTGATAAATAATGATTTAATTGACTGTGGTCAACAAACTAACAACAATTAGCAAGCATCCAATAATGAGATAATTAATAATGTAAGAGGTGATAAAAATGAAGATACTAAACAGGAACTCTCAGATGACAGCTTTGATAAAACTTTTAGACAGAAAAGATAAAATAAAATTATAAGTAATTAGTACATTAATAATAAGGATTACTCAAAATGAGATAAAATAATTATTAACTGAAACAAAAGATCAAGATTTTTTAATATTTAATTTGATGAAATAATATTTGTCCTAATACTAAATATTTTTACAGAAAGGGGTTTTGGGGTTTTGGGGTTTTGGGG